CGCGGCGGTCCGCGCCCGCGGCAGAGCCCAGCGGGTTTCCGCAGCGGAGCGGCTTTGCCTGTCGGTTTGCGTCGTTGTCCGGCCGGGTGCTCTCCCCGCCCGCCCCCCTTTCACATCAAGCTGAGGGCTGGAGTCTCCTCGGGGTGCTTCGGCAAAACCGCCTCGAGCGCTACAGAGCGGAAGTCGGCCAAAATAGCGGAGTCCTAGGCAGAAGCGGCGGTAGCTCAGAGCCTACGGAGGAGGCGGCTCCTCCTGCCCCAGCGCAAGCGGAGGGCAGGGGCGCCGCTCCCGGTTCCTGGCCAGCTGGGTGAGACCCTCTGCTGCGCCAAGCCTTGCCATATGCTTCTCTAAGACTTTACAGGGCTTTCAGTGGATGGTACTGCGACCGTGTGAAGCAATAACAGTTGTTAATCCACTGAGTCATGTTTTTCAGGCCAAGGAAGATTTGGGCTGAAAATAACATGCAAGGACAAAATTACTTATGCCAACTCATCACACACATCCAGCAGCCCATAAATCCAAGCCCTGTGTCGGGCCATTCCTTTCTCAGGTTTAACCTTCCCCTCTTGGCGCAAAGCTGCTGCAAAACTGCTCAACTGTTTAGAGAAACATGCGACCGTGGAAAGCTATAAAGAATGGGAAAACCAGCCTTGAGCGGTCAAATCGGAAGATATCACAAGGCTCTTCCACGCTCTAGGCATGCTATTGAGAAGCAGAAGGAGGGAGCAAGACATGCTGCCGAGTGGCCATTTGGGAAGTGACGCGTGTCGCTCTCCGGGAGCGCCCAGGCTGCGCACGCTGCGATCGCATCCTGCGCTTCCGAGCAAGGGCAGTTTTTGTGTCCCGCTCAGCAGCCTGAGCGCGGCGTTCGTGCCGCCCAAGAGCGTTGCCGCTCCCGGCCCGCCCGGGCTAATGCTCTGAGCCTGCTCTTGCCGCGCCTCTTGTGCTTTTTATTTCCTTGAGCTTCTGTTTGTAGAAAATGGGCTTCAGTTGCTTGTCTCAGCTGATGGCTGCAGGCCAATAATCATAAAGCCAAGCCTGAGAGTTCACCTCTGCTCTCACAGACGTCCCCTGCCGGCACAGAGGTCCTTGGGGATGAGGCCGCAGTACTCAGCACCCGGATTACAACCATTCATCTCGCCCGCTTGCGTAAACCTACGCCATCACACCCACTCGGGGCTGTTCTCACGAGAACACAATGAATGAAGCCAGGAGACAAGTTTAGTCAGAAAGATACTATGAATTTTGACAGGATGGACGTTATGCTTTCAGAGGAACTTTCCTCTGTTTAGTAGGGTATATATGAGGTTTCTGTAATTCTTTCTACAGTTCCATAGAACCGGCTACACCAGACTAAAAGATGTAAATGCAATCAAAATAAAAAAGCCTACAGTAAAAAGCTACCAAAAACTTTTTTCCCTGTTGCTTGTAGACGACTTGGCACATCTAATACTAGTTCCCCAGAAGATCTTCATGACATCATTCTACACAAGAGCGTTGCCACCGAAATATCCCTCCCTCTCTCTCTCCCAGTATTAGTCTTGTGCTTTCCCTTTTCCCGCTTTAACGTGCATCTGAAAATGAAAACTCAGTATACCTGCCTCTGTAAGCTTTGAAACAAACTTTAATTCCAATCCTAAATCTGGACCTATACCAAAACCTGATCTAAACCTAGGTTCTGCCGGCACCAGACTAGAAGCCCTGTCTGGATCCACTTAGCAGAGCTCATTCACTTCTCGCTGATCTAAACCAGAATCACAACCGCTATAATAATCGTAACCTAGGGACCACCAGTGCGTCAATATCTAAACGGTGTCAGGTCAGCTGTAAGCAGCAGCCCTAAACCTCAGTTTAGTGGTCCTTTTCCATAGACAGAAAAATGACAAAACAATAAAATAAAATAAAATAAAGGAATAAAAGCCAAACACTTACTAGAGCGATGATTAAAAAATAAAAATCGCCTCTGACGACAGCACATTCCCATATAGAGGCACAGGATGTTGCCAGGCTGATTTTTCAAAGCTGCTGAGCACCTACACTGTCACGGAGCCTGCAGCAGAGAGAACGTCCCGGCCGGACAATCAGCATCTTCCAAAAAATGACCTGCAGATTAGATGTTACTCAGTCATGTCTTTGTTAATACTTTAATACAAGCGACTTCTCTAAAGAGAAGGAAATCATGGTTTACAGTCAGATAATTCAAAACATGCAAACTCCCTATTTACATCCTTTCTAAGAGCTTCCTTACTTCCTGTTCGCCGCCGCCCTGGGGCAGAGCAAGCACAGCCTTTGTTGCGCTCTTGCTCTAAGAGGCTGAGTCTCATCTCTGCCCATAAGAAGAGAAAGGTTTTCTTTTCTTCGGACGTACAGCTATTTCCAAGGATTAAGTCTTTACATATTTAATCTTCCCTCTACCCCCATGCATATGTTCCCCACAGATGATTCACAGAGATATTCTGCATTTGTAATGAATGGTTTCATACGTTAAATAACTTAGAAACAAAACGCATAAGCTGAACGTGAAGCAGCTACTCACCTGCAGCGCGGAGCCCTCCCGTAGCTGCAGGGAGGGCTGCCGCAGTCGCCCGCTCCAGCAAAGCCTGGGCAGGCTGGGAGGGTGAAGGCTGCTTCCCCGGGGCTGCGCGCAGCACGGGGCCACCCACCCCTCGGGGCCCCGGCACCCCAAGGTGCTGCTGGAGCGAGAGGAAGCGCTCCCTGCTCACCGGGCAACGGGGCTTCCTCACACTGCCCGGAGCGTCCAACCTAAAGCCAGCTCCCCGCTTGCCCCTCAGCAGGACAAGCTGGTAAAAATCTAAGAAAAAGTAGAGCGAGCCTTCCCCAAGCAGCGTCCCGGTCGCTCGGGCTGAGGCCCCCAGGAACGGTGTCTCTGAAGGCGGGGGAGCTGGCTGCTTTCAGTCAGCCCCGCTTTCCCAGGCACAGCGCTGCATCTGCCCAGCCGGGCACGTGCCTGCAGCCACGGGAGGCTCTTCTTGCCAGCTACCGTCTTCAGTGAGAGCTCTTCCCTTTCCTAAATGCAGTGATGATTTGTGTACGTGTCTGTCTAGGTGCAGGCAGTGAGCTCGCCAGCGTGGGCACTACTCCTCAGTGGAAAGCACCTACCTGCTAGCAAGCACCATCTCAGATAAACTCTTAACAACACTGGGCAGCGTAGAAGACAAGAAAAGCAGCGATTCCTTCACATCACCACTGCTACTTCCTCTTGAGATGTTCTTCTGGGATAACTCTAAATCACAGCATCTGTAAGGCTAACAAAAGAGCGGTAGTAAAAGAAACCAAACGGAGTAAGGAACACATTCTCGCTTCGTTTACCAACATGCTTCTCTTCCCACTTCTAAAGACTGGAAAACCAGCAACTTGAGCTTTCAGTTGAAACATTGATTTCAGGCAGTTGGGGGCCAAAGGGTTCAGAGTAGCTGCTGTATAATTACTCTTGCAAGTTATACCTACACAGGAGGATGTCACTCCTGACACGAATCCCAGGCGGCAGAAGGAAGTCTTAGTCAGCAAGGCAATAAACAATGTTGCTAGCGTACAGGAAGAGAGTTTGCTTGCCTTCAGAGCAGTGCTGGAATATATTTTGATCGCAATGTGGAACAAAGCAGTTCAGTTGTATGTTTTTGTCTTAAATATCAGTGAGAAATACAGTGCAGAACTAATTACTTCTGCACATTACTCTTTTAGAGACTAGTGCCTTATAACGCCTTTGAACGTGTATACATTTTGAAATTATTCTATATCAGGCTTTAAGTGATGTGCTTCACAAATTGGAAAGCCTGTAAAAACTGAACATATCTGTTATAACTTTTGTAAGGACTTCTGTCTTCTGTTCATGTTTGCCAAGCAGGACATTTGATTTTCATTTTTAAACCCCATGGCTTAATATCATAAGATATGTAAGCGATAAACGGATAGATGGGAGCAAAAGCAAACAAGAAAGGAAACGGTGAGCTGCAAGCACGGCCAACGTCTATGCGTTAAAGCTATGTGGCTCTTAGTGAGCAGCGCTTCGATTAGGGACTGGAGCTAGTCATAATCTCTACATCTGTATTTGCCAACAGCTACTACCTGGAGGAAAATAGTTAAAATAGCAGCACTGTTGGGATACAGTAAAGTAGCAATAGCAGAGCTCTTCTTCACAACAGTTTCAGTTTGACTATTTAGAGAATATCTGAAACAGCCACATTTGTCACATCACAGGGCTCTTGGCTGCCCTGCTCTCACAAAGGACTCGTTAGAAGATGTATGATGAAGGGATGTTTTACTATGAATTGCTTTGCTGAGGACTGAGAGAAAGTAAGCACAGGCACACTTTAAATTACTGGGAAGTCGTGATACCTGTGCCAAAAACTACTGCTTATTTTGACTTAGGCTGACAATTCGATTCAATAATCATCGTTGCTACCTTCATGTACTGCCTTAGTGATAAATTTTGTGCATACTGGCTATTTTGCCTAACATGAATAACCTTAATATTCAGGCAGTTAAAACTTGTATGCCTACAGATTTACACCACTAACTCCAAGTCCTTCAGATTTTTTAGTTATTATTTAGTTACAGTCACACAAGTAATCCATCCAGTGGACATCAATTAAGCCATTTAGACTTAATGACATATTAAAAATTGATCCTTGCAGGGTCAGAACATAAGAAAGCCAAGCTCAGCAGGAAAATAAGGAGCAGCCAGCAGCGTTGGGAAGCAATCATTAGGTGGCAGAAAGCGTCTACTGAAGGATAATGAGGAACAAATCAACTCTCTCAGATGCTGGAATCCCAAAGAGCAGCTACAGGAACAACCATCACATTATGATTTATACTATTATCACTCAGGCAACGGCACCCAGAAGAAACCAAGACAAAAATATTTTGCATCCATTTGCAAAAACCATCAAAACATTTGTCTTAGGAACACAGCAAAGCTACCACTATTGGGGGGGATGGGGGAGACAAGTTTCACTGAATTAAAAAATTGGCTAATGTGAGCCTGAATGGTGGTGGGAGGGGAAGCCAAATCAAACATCCAGAGTAACTACAGTTTCCTGCGCTTTTAACATCACTAAGATTCCCCAGTCAGCAATGACAGTCCCCAGATTTGCAGAATCTTAGGAAATAAACATTTTAAGAGTTACTACATGTCTTAACTCCACCACTCAGACTCAACAATTTAAAAGCAGATGTAATAGACAGAGCTACAGCTCATCACATGGATGGAATAAAATCAGGAAGAAAGCATCTAACTATCACATGTACCTAACTGATAAATCAGTAATTTTTAATAAAAATTAAGCAAAACAAAATGTATTCATTAATAAAATTGTTCACTTCAGCATTGCATATTGATACAAGCATACACATTTAGATGCCAGTACAGTTAAATGAATCCAGTGTTGCATTTACTTTTTACGCATTAAGACAAAGGAGAAGCATTTGGAAGACTAATATCTTACGCAGATAATGAATTATAATTTTGACTGAAGTAGTTACAGTTCATTGAATGAATAAAAGAAGTTATGTAAACTGGCCAAACGTTCTCCAATATATCCTCATTCCTTCTTTTCCTTATTCAGGAAGGGCTCTTTATTACAATTAGTTATTTTTTCATTTGAAAAAAATATTTACTGCCATTTTAAGGAAAAAGTTATCAAATACATTTTTACATACACGTACGTCATTCTTCAGGCAAGCACTGCAAGCCTTTCCTCCTTAGATCAGAAATTACTCCAAAGAAATGCTGAAATATGCAATTGCGTCAGTACGGATTTCAATGCTTAGAATTCTGTACTTTGAGTAAAAGCAACCATGATTTCTGAAAACCAGTTCTTAAGAGAAATAGATTATGACTTGAAACACTAAACTGGATTCTAGATGAGGCAACACAAAACAAGAAATATCAAAGGAAATGAATTCTGATTTGGGTAATTCACTGAGGCACCTAGTTTCATTTTATAGTTTAATAACAATTGTTTATATTTCCAGAATCCAATTTTGTAATTACATTACAAAATAAAATATTTAAACAATACTTAGCTATGTACATTCTGCTCCAAAAACGGACTGTAGGAATTATGTACATTTCTTTTAGAAATACATACAAACCACAGCACAGGTCAACAATCAGCTGGCAACTTAAGGGACACAAGTCAACTTAAAAGAAACATATCTGTGCAAAATTTTAATCCAATACTGCTTCAGTGACAGTAGTTCAGAGCCTCTTCAGGCTAACTAGTTTGTTTTCCCTGCCCTCAAATGCTATCCCAGTTTACCTTATGTGTTGGACAGCAGTTTCTATAAATGTCATTATTACTTGTTAGAGTTGGTCTTTTGCAGAGAAACAAGACAAATATTAATAAACAGGGAATTAGGATTTTAGAAAATTATAATACAGAAGAATCTGGGCAGGAGTACACTACGCAAATCATCTAAACTTTACTGAAAAGTCAAACTGACTGTGCCCCTCTGATACCTTACCAGATACTTTTTATGAAAAGTTTTACAAAGGTACCCTCTATCTTATTTCCCAGTACACATTACTTACTCTACTAGGTTTTTCCAAAAAAAAAAAAAAAAAGAAAAAAGATAAAATTACTAGTTGAACTGACAGCAGGAAAGAATAGTTTAAAGCTCTTTTACCAGTCTAGACAACACATACATTCACTTGAACGAGAGTTCACACCAAATGCAAATGTTGCAAGAAAGTAATTACATTCAGAGAAATGGGTATCAACCTCTACCCCATGGTTATTACCAGCATACAGTAATCATTATCAATCCAGGCAGCAAGGACAGTGTAAAACCCCCCACCCCCAACTTTTCACATAGCCCCAACATGAATCTGAATCACAGTGGGGAAGGCAACAGTTTTTCCTAAAGATAACAATTTCAGATAGAGTGGAAGTTTCTTAGTTTTGATTGTTTTATGTTGTCACAAAAAGTGAAGAAACTGAAACTTTCAATCCCATAGAGATCTGCTTAGACCACGCACACTTCCTGTGGAACCATTACAGAAGCAACAGTTCATTGGTTTGACTCAATCATTTGAGGAAGCACCAATTCATTAATCTTTGCAATGGGCACACATAATTTCTGAGGATCTTCAGTGTTTTGTTTTATATTTTCATCCAATTCCGCTGGGAAATGATGCAAAAGTTACTTTTAAGTTACTCTTCAGTTCCTTGACGGCAAAAATATAAGACTGCTGCAATAAAGTGAGCTTTCAGGCAACTGTACTGCAGCTCACATACTCTTCAGCTCATTAGAGACTGACTGAACTAAGTGTGCATGAGTGAAAGGAAAACTCAAACAAGAGATCCGAATGTAACAGAGTTATCTGGACTTCTCACCATTGTTGTCAGTGTCATAGAGCTTTGCAGCATTCACATATTAACAATGTTGGGCAAAAGACTGAGTATACCCAGCTGGCACAAAAAGCCAGGACATCAACAAGAGAGCACAACTGCCAGAATCAAAGCTGAAATAGTGAAAACAGGCAGTGAAATAGGCCTAGTGAAATAGGCAGTCATGGAAATCCAGGGACCAGAATTGAACTCCAACAACCACAACTCTGTATTTTGTCTGAAAAACATGTGTGCCAGTCACCAAATATCCCTCAGTCTGAGTTCTAAACACCAGAAAAACAGATGAAAAATGAATCTAAGTAAAACTGTGATGCCTAAATTCTCCCACGGATATATCAAAAATTAACTTGCGCTATAATAATATCAAACTGCATAGCATTAGAAAACAAGGCAACTTGAACGGCTGAAATGGAAAATTAGAATTTTACCAACTGGTTACTACCATTCTGGAATTTATAATACCGTACTGTAGACTGTTGCCAGTATCAGCTACAGCCCACTTTAAGTAAAAGTCTGCCTTAATTCCAGAGAATGCAAAAATTATTTATTTGGACAAGTTGATGCATGCTCTGCTTTCATGTTCTCCTAGCAGGTTTTGCTGTTAACTGCTTCTCTCTTTCAAGTTCCTTCTCACGTTGCTGTTCTCGTTCTAGTTCTTCTTTCTGCCTCTTTTGTTGCAGCTTAAGTGCTCTTTTCTAAATAGAAAACACAACAAACAATTAGAAGTTTTAGTGCAGTGTATAAACTGGAGCTACAAACAACATTCCTCCCGTTCTCCTCACACTCTCTTCCTGAAACCACCCTGGTTATGATTGCAATGCTGCAGAAACTGCTCATTTTTCTTCCCCCCTCCCACTTCTATCTTCAGTTTCAGAAACAGCAACACTGTGATCTATAGAGGGAAAACAGGATTGGATTCCCCTGAATCTCACTAAAACTCATCCTTTCTGCATACCAGACAGGTGCATACTGTGCAATTTATTTACTCCAAGAGAAAGTTATTTTTGTTGGCCAGACTGAAGGACTAATCTTGTCAGAATGTAACCAGAGACCGCCTATACAGCATCAAGTCTGTGAGTTATGCCACTGTTAATGTTAAAGAGGAAACATTTTTATGTTCATGACAACATAGTTTCATTAAAAAAAAAGTCACACAAACTAAAACCACTATGAGAACTACTTGGAATGGCTTGGACTATGAGACAGAACAAGGCACAATTCTAGTATCACCTGAAAGACAAACGCGATGATGACACTGAAGATCACTAAGAGTCCAAATGCATAAATTGTTTAAACACAATAAACGGTATGCAAAGCTTAAAAACAAATATGGTTTAGTGCTACTGGAAACATGGGAAAAACATTGCATCCAAAATAAAGGTTAGAAGTCAGTAATATATAGTTAAATATCTATGTTAAAAAAAAAAACAAATTTACCCTACTCACTTTTAACTTTGATGTCTTCTCATGGAGCATCATCATTTCATTTCTAATATTCACTAACTTGTTGTGATAGTGCTTAGCTTCTGAAAACTTTTATAATATGACAGTTATAGCAGTGATTGTCAGGTTCGAACAATTGCTTTATAAAGCTATACATCAAAACAGCAACTAAGAACATAAAGATTACCAGAACAGTTTGATAATGGATTAAACACGTTAAAGTTTACACAGAAGGCTTATGTATTAATAATGTATTAATAATACAGAAAATTGCCACACCTCAGCAGGTGCACAAAGTACCTGTGTACAGAGTACCTGCTACACAATTAACATTCATTAAAATAGAATAAAAATTTGACCACATATCCATATTTATCAACCCTTTCTGCTAGCCTGGGGAGGCACGCAGAGCTGATGTTGCAGTCTTGTTGAAAGACTGCGTACGTTTGCTCTGGCTACTGGAATTGAACAAATTTGTACTCTTCCTATTTAATGAATATGTACTGGTTCTTCACATTCTCTTTTTTATGGGGGGGGTGAGGGGTGGAATTAAAAAAATGGGGAGGAGAGAAGTATCCAGTTTAGCAACAATTTGCCCCAAATATCTGAACTGGTAGGTAAGCATCCTGTAGGTTGTTAAGAACAAGCCCTATACATAAGTGACATAAGCGTTGCTGCTAGTATTTTCGCAGGAAGACCTGTACTAGTATACATTTACGAAAGCACTAACAATACTTACCAAGGCATTGATATCAAGAATGGAGTTACATTCTTTGAATTTTGAAATTTCTTGCTCTAATGTTTCTAGTAACACCACTTGGTTCTGTCTGAAACAAGACAAGATGCAAAAAACCAAAGTCTAGCAGAATAGATGAAAAGGAGCGTAAAGATATGCTGCACAAGTAAAGTTTTCCGAGCATCTATTTCTAACACAACAGATCACTTTTTCATAATTGGCACGGTCGTGTAAAGTTTCACTCAGAAACTTGGGAGAGGTAATTTTGGATTTATTTTTTCAACCAGCCTTTTGAATAGATTTTAGTTTTGATCATTAAAAACATGCTTCCTGATATCAGATTTCTCTTATGCATTGCTAGCCAATTTCAAATGGAGATGTCAGTAAATATATATATATTTTTAAATCCCAGTTGAGTACACATAAATTCAGCTCTTTGTTATCTGGGCTCCCAGATAAGGAATCTGGGGTGAACATCTGAAAACCGTGAATACAGGCACCCTGCAGACTCTAATGTGATTGAATAAAGGGAAAAATAATTATCTCTGGCTTTCTACTCAGTTGTCTCTGCACCATGCTGCAGGACTAAGTTAATTCTGCACAGAACTTGCTTGGATCCTTGATGCTTATTAAGAATGTTCCATCCCACGCAAATCAGCTAAACTCCTTGCAAACACACACCATTCTCAGCGGCAGCAAACGACATTTATGTATCACGAAGCCCAAACCAATATACCCTGCAGACCTGAGATGGCTCTGTGTAAAAGCTCTTTCAGGTATCTTTGCATCCATATCAGATCCAGCCTGCATTTGAAATAAACTCCTCTCAGTTATCGATGACATGCCAATGTATGAAGAACTCCTATCTCTTTAACTCCTTTGGTATATTTGCTAAGTGGATCTTTTGTAGCTTAAAGATAGCACAACAAACAAGAAAAATTGCACTCAAGCTGCCCTGAATATTAAATGCATCTCTGCAAACAAAATAAATCTACATCTCTGAATAGACCTTCCACTACAGGAAAAAATAAGTAGAAATGTGCATGTCTTCTGCTATACCTGGCTGAGTGAATTTTAGATTTATGTTCTTTGGTCAAAGCACTGAAAGGTTACACTGCAGCTTATACACTTACTAGTATTCTTATAATCTTAAATATAATTCTTCTGACTTTTATGGCCAGAATACAGAAATCCATAGTAAATTATATTTCAGTTAACGATACTTGGAACGTTATATGGAAAAAAACGGTGAACAAAGCATGCATATATCAGAAGATGCTTTTAATAAGTTTGCTTACGTAAGTTCCTTTAGTGCTGACTTTGATCGCTGGAGATCAGGTAAATAATGAGAAATTAAGCCTTCAGTTAGCTGCTCCACAGCTTTCTCATCTACCATAGGCATATCTTCTACTACTCCTTCATCTGGAGATGCATCTCTGGAACCTACACCACAGAATAACAAGGCTGAACATCACAGCTTGACGTTTATTTGAAATTTCACTTTGTACAACGATATTCTCCTCTTTAACAGACGAAATACTGCTTCAACACTGAAGTTATAGTTCTTTGCACTTCATCAGCTAAACAGCGCTTTGTATTTCCTCCCCCTCTTCGTCCCTCCCTTATTCCCAGTCCTATATATCAAGCTTCCTGGTGTACAGTTATGTTGTGTCTGCACACAGGCGAAACGGGAAGAAGGAAAGGGAGCAATCCTAGGACACCTCGCTAGAGAACTCCGAGTACTGCAACCTACTCGGAGAAGAGGGACAACATCATTTTTTTGGGCTGCATAACCAAAACACCCTGAGCATTTACGCGCATCTCGTTCGGCGAGTCAGAGAATAAACCTAGATCAGGCCAAACCGAGCGGGGCCCCGTGCAAGCACCACGCGCCCAATTCCCCGAAACCGGCAGGACGGCCCCGAGGAGCAGCAGTCGCAGCGCGCCACGGCCACTGACGGCGCGGGCAGCTCCCGGGACATAAACGCCTCAA